GGCCGCGTTTGTAGTTCGTGTCCGCACAGATCCTCCACAGGCGTTCTGCGGAGAAGATACCGAGGCTCGGGTGGTCGTTTCCCGATTAGGACCGCTACATAATCCAAGGGCCGAACAAAGGAACCTCAACGGCCGTAAGAGTTACTAATCTTCAGTACGCAACGACAAATTGCATGTGTGCGCAGGGCTGACAGGCTCAGACTTTCAGGCATGTCTCGAGATGGTTCATAATCTGGGTAGGGCTCGACTAAGGCGTCGCTGGTCTATTTGCGTGGGCGCATGCCCACGTAATCACGTGTATAAACTAGTCAGATCTTGAATGTGCTGAAATGCCGAGGAACAGAACCATAGGGCCATCCATGCACATTGAACAATTACATCGAGATGTGACTTGCAGATTCGATGGTTGTTGAGTTCGAGAGGAAGCGACCTGACTGCCAAGCCACTAGGGAGTTCTGACTAAGCGAATCTCGAGCTCAGCATCATCGCGAAACCCAGCGGTACCAATGACCGCCAGCAACCTCACGATGCAGTCACTACGCAGAACAGCAGTGGCTGCTGCCCGGACGAGCCGCACTTCACTCCCGCGCCAGTCGCGCCGCTTCGCACACGATGAGCACGCTCACGGCCACCCGACCCCAGCCGCCGACGAGCCCATGGGTGTATGTCAACCGCCCTTTACCCCTCCCAGATGGTCCTAGGCTTCCGTCCAGGTTATCGCAGCACTACACGAAGAATGTTGCTGACTCAATTGGCATGCAGTATGGCTTCTTCATGACCATTGGGGTCATCCCCGTGGGAATCGCCGTATACGCCTTGTCGCGACCGGACGGCGAGAACAACGAGCCCTACATTACCCGCATGATCTCCAATGCGACGGCTGGACTACACGAGAAGTGGACTTCGCAGAACGACCACCACGTGCGCATGATCGAGCAGGCGGGTGAGGACAGGGTGCTGTTCGCGAACACACGGCCTCAGGAATACGTCGACATGAAGTTCCCAGAGTACGTATACCCATAATGCGGCACGCAGCCCTATAGGAGGAACTATGACTTGGGGTGAAGGCGAATTAGCGCACATGGATGGGGGATTGGTATGGAAGCCACAGGCTAACGAACACAGGATCATGAACGTCGGATCGCCATACAACGTCCCCGCCGGAAGCCAAGTGCAAATGGACAAGGTTATCGAGAAGTACAAGAAGCTGGCGTACGAGGACAATGAGCGCAAGCTGGAGAAGTTGAGGAATAACGACATCTCGTCCGAGACGCCCGTGACAGGCCCAAAGACTCGCGTCAAGAAGGCGCCCGACATGTTCTAGATAGAGATGAATTCTGCTCGCTAGATGTACATACTCAGGGAATGATATCCGTTTCATTTGTAGTGTCTGTTACTGTGCTTTGACAGTCGGTCTTTGGTATTCAGTATCGCATCGCTATTCCACCATTGTCTCCTGGCCGCCCTGATTCATTGTCAGAAAGCCTGCAATCTACGGAAACATGTTTCAACCATAGACCACTAACGAAACCGTCTTCTTACAGGACACTTGACGTAACGCTCAGGCTCATGTAGGGACGACGGAAAAAAGGCAAGACTCGAAGTGCGTTCGGTTCGCCTCTGCGCAAGTCATGAGCTCCTTATGCTGCTAGGGTAGTTTTAACCAGTAGAGCTGATGCTTTTGGAGATGTCTCTGGTCTTAGCGTGCTGCGCTCTTCCCTCGGCGGTTGGGTCTATTCATAGAGACAGTACCAGGCCCATCTGCATGGAGGGTGGCGGCCGTTGTTACAAGTGAAAATCATGTCCAACCATGTTACACAGTGACTCCCAGCACAGTCATACTGGGGGCGGTAAGGCTCAGCCACGTTGGTAGTGCAATGTGGGGTATACTGCCTGCGATATTATTGTGACGGAGGGAGCAGGCAGACTTGCGGGTTACAGTAGGCTCAATATTTTGGTACATGAGCATCGTTGTGATGGCTGCTGGCTTCCGTGGTGGTAATTCGGCGCGAAGGCATCGAATCTTGGAGTACCAAGGACTCCCCAGTATACTCGTAAGCATCGCAATGTCCCGGCACGAAGGCGTTCATGCTGACGAACCTAGCAGTCTTACGGTGTTTCGTGCGGGAAACGCACACGTCACGTTCCGTAGGGCAGTTGCTAGGGTTCCGCCCCACTTGACAGCGGGTTCCTGAACGGGGATCATCGCTGATTGGCGAACCGCTACACCAGCATTACCAGACCACGATGAATCCAAGGTGAAGTGAAGGGGAGGTTTGTAGGCGCTTCAAATGGCTAGACTAGTGTTCACTGCAAAATGCATTGCTTTTGACTTGGCCGCTCCTGTTGCTCGTCGAACCATGACAGTTTGGAACCTCATCCGCCCAACCTCGCCGCCTGCCAAATACCAACGAGTGAGGAACATTAGAGGTTACTAACGTTTTGTGAAGATCCGCCGGAGCACGACAAGACCATCAGCAAGGTATGAGTCCCCCTCAACCCAGTCATCTGTTGGTGGTGCGCAATCTCCGCTAGATTGCTGCAGTTGCATTCTTTTTCGTGCCTTTTCGTGGGCAATCGCTGAGCAGCAGTACTGGATCTTGGTCGACGGCTCTCGAAAAACCAAAACTAATCCAGAGACAGATGTCCAGTCCTGCCGCATTGCGCACTCGAAGCATGCCGCTCCTTCCCTTTCGCAGGAGGAAGGTAGTCGCGGCCGCTACGGCTCCAGGTAAGTTAGCGCTAGGGTGGACCCCTGGCGTCCCCAAACACAGCGCATCACCCATCGTCCTGATTGACGCGCCGCATAAACATCTTTCCTGTCCGCGCTGCGCTGCACAATTGCATTGTTTGGCCCCCCGATGCCGCTTCCTGAAACGCGCCTTCACAACGTTGGATGCTAACCCTCTCAAGACTCGGCCCCATTGCTCCCCGAACTCAACTTCACCGCCCGCAAGAGGAATGACATGAACGGGTCAGCTTGGACCACCGACGACACTTCTCGCACTGCGAACGCCGCACCAGCACGCACGACCTCGACCACCACCATGCCCTCCTACACTTCGCCCCGCAACGTCTCAGGCCCGCTAGCTGTCGACAAAGCCGCCATGGCTGCCGCCGCCGATGAGAACAGCCCGTGGGCCCGCCCCAACCACTACAGCACCCCCAACTCAAAGACGTCACAGTATATTGATAAGATCACACAAGAGAACGACCGCCTGCGACGAGAACTCAGGGCCGAGAAGCTCGCAAGAGAAGATGAGGCCAAGCGTGTGTCGGCTGCACAAACCAAAGCCGAAGACTCCCGCGCCGAGTACCAACATCTCCAAGTGCTCGCCGACACCAATGCGCGAGCCATAGAGCGGAAAGACCGGAAGCTCGAAGAACTCAAGGCCACACTAGACGCCGAAATACAAAGAAGGAAGTCCGCCGAACAGCGAGCCGAGGAAGCGCTGCGGATGCTGGGCGACACACGATCCGAGACGCAACGACAGCTTTCGCAAGCATACGAGATGAGGGGCATGGCAGACACGAATCTCGAAACCGCACGAGACGGCTTCAAGCGCATCACCGACGGCTACGAGAAGAAGGTCCGCCAAATCAACGATGAGCTCAACGAGCTACGGAGAAAGCGCCTCGAAGACGCCGATAAGATCAAGCGACAAGCCATCATCAGTGACCAGCTACAACACGAATCTTCGCGATCCACACGGGCCGAGGCCAAGCTGGTCAATCTGATGGAGGTATACAAGAAAGAGCACCGGAAAGAGATGGATGGTCTCATACAGGAAGCAGAGAGGCTGCGACGCGCACTGCCAGAGAAAGAGCGCGAGGCACAGAAACTTGTCGATTCGTTGGAGCAAACCCGCGATAAGATGCGATGGGTCATGACTCAACATGAACGGCAAACTGGGGGGAAATGAACGCCTCATCGTATACTCCACACGTCACCCAACAACCCGGTAAAGGGGGCATCGAGCGAGACGCGATATAGGACCGAGCCAGCATGCGCACCAAGCACGATCCGGCCTCTGCGGTCCCACACAATACGACTATAATGACCAAGCTTTGTTTCCTGGGCTAAATGGCAATCTGTAATATATTTGGATATGGCGTTGAGGTTTGGCATACATCACCACATATGCTGGGATGAATAGGCGTTTATTGGAGATCGTAGTCAGGCTTGACATTCTGACATTGCACGCGCCGGACACTGTTCGGCTGTTTTTGATCCAAGGGCTTTCAGCTGCTGGTTACCTATCTCACTTAATTCATCCATGTATTTGCATGTCGCACAGTCCTAACCAGCCATGCTTTCACTTTTTATTGCTAACACTCAAATTTTGAACTAGCCATTTCATCAGGCTGCGATCGATTTTGCCGTCGCCCGCCGTTGCTTCAGCCGCTGCCCACTCTTGGGCGCTCTTTCCTGGACCCTGACTCGCCAAGCAAAGCTCCATCGGCCCCTTCCGCGCTCAGTTCTGTTTACATCACATTCGAAAACGTCCTCACGGCGCGAGATGGCGCCATCACGTCAATCCCACAGGAACTCAGAGTATCGTGGGTGCGCTTCAATATTTACGGACTCTCACAATCGTCGGCGACCTGCACTTCACGAATCGCTCTTTCACTCTACGGTGTATATTGAGGGCATGACGGTAAGGGTAGCCACATCCAAAATAGGCACTCACTGATCACCAAGTTGACACACGTAGATTGAGCTCGAGTCTAACGCTCACACCAGCACTAAGCCACATGGAACCGTCTGAGTTGATTACAGATCCACCAATCAAAGTACAAGTACAACGTTACTGGACAACAATTGAAAATGCAGACAAACAACCCCCAAACGCAAGATGCGGAAGTCACTCTACGCGCGCCATGACGACCGCCGGAAAGTACGCGAAGGCTCAAGTTCGGAAGTTACGTTCGTCCTGCATGGTGGTCAGTCAATGCTACAGTGTCGCCTCAGTGTATACTCACTGAGATACAGCGTCCGTTTAGTTAACGGGAGTGCCGCACTGAATGCAGCATTTTCCAGGGATGACCCAGACCGTGTCTCCACGCTCGAGACAGGCAGGGCAGCGACGACCGGGTACCTACAACGATCAGTAAACGCCCTGGACGATGATCGCTTTTTTACTCACCGGCATAGTGACGATGCCTTCAGCGTCATTCATACAAGGAATGGCTACTCTGTCGATGGGCGTGTTCATCCACATGACGCTTCTGGGTAGGTGTCGGTGTTGGAGTTGCATCTTGGAGGACATGGCTGAAGCGAATGACAGTGATGATCTAGAAGAGACAGGCGAGCAAAATACGACTTGAGGTTTGAAGGAATGTGGAGCGACACTAAAGAATCAAGGTGAACAGAGCGAGTACCTCTCATCTAGGCCAGAGACGCTTCTTTATACATTCTCAACTTCCCGAACGGCTTCGGTGCACCAGGATTCTCTATCGCTAGCGTAACCCTTGTGCTTCGCAGTGCGCTTGTAGCGCCATCGGTCTGCAGTTTTCCGAATTCAAGGAGACGACTCTCTCCTGTGCCTCTGACCTGCACGATGTGCATGGTGCGTTGTACACTTCCAACGAGAGCAGATCAGAAAATGCCTGCGCCATGTCTATCCACCTGCCTGGGAGCATATGGACAGGTACATGTCAACCAGTATCCCGGGGACGCTAAACTTCCAGATCGTCTAGCTAACCGCAAGTCGCTCTAGAGGCTGTCAACGGCTGTATACACTGGTGCCACAAAGATTTGGACTGCGGAACCAATACCGGCACGCAAGGAGCTCAGCTGCATATCGTAATGGATCATTCTGACGCTGACGACGAAAAGATACGTTCCGCATGAGGTGTCCTTCACCAATATGCGATGAAACAACACTGTTGCCATCACACCAAGTCGAAATCGCCAAGCTGTTTTGAGATCATTTGATCAGAACTCAATGGCACCACTATGGTTTGCTACCCTATCTTTGCTAGATAGTGTACGTGCGTGTCACGGCACCGTCAGTTTCGCTGAGCCTCGTCGCTTTTTCATTTTGTCAAGTTCGGCGCTAACGAAGCCACGATTATCTACAAGCCCTGTAACATGCAGCCGCAAGCAAACTTACGCCCTATCCCTGCCTTTCTGCACAGTCTAGGCTCGCGATGCTTTTGCAGCCTTGCATGAGCCAAACCGTTTGGCGATACATCCCGCGACCCGCCGCCCGTTTGGACTGCGATCGCCGTTCCGTTTCTTAGCTCATACCGATAGCCGTCCTTCCGTGGTATGACCATCTACAACCGTCGTACGTTCACAGCGGATGTCAATTCGAGCTGTCCAATCTCAAGCATCTGAAAGATGCAGCCAAGCTACGAGATCGCGATCTGAGATAACGGCTTATCGTTTGTACTATACAATCCTTCGAACCCCGGTCCCTATCTTCCTCAGATTGAGGATGCGTTCCAAGCTCTTGTGTGCGGGGCAATATAGCCACGAGTCGAACTTTCGATCGACCAATCATGACTATCCTACTGACATCGCTAAGCTTCCTCTATTTGTGGATCATTACTTGGTCTTTTGTCGATGGGACTAACACATCTGACTTAAGCACTACTACACCTGAGGTATACTTCTGGATGAAGCACCGGTGTTATAGCCAGCAAAACGCAGCAGTTTCCTTCGCCTCTTACCCAGGCTTTTCCCATGCCAATCCTCCGGATATTGGAAGGGTGTCGGCAACAGTGCCTTTGCAAAGCTCTTTGTCCTCGCGCCCACGTTTCCGACTCAGACCCTGATGAGCTGCTTTGAAAGCCGTGGCACAGCGCTCAGTCCGATCTCGGCTGCATGCTTTGCGCCGCAGCTGAAACGGAGTAGGCATTCTCTGTCCCGTCTCTTCGTGCAGCACCCGTGGCTGGACGTTCTCTCCCGAGACCGACTCTTTACTCCCGAGTACTACACCGCTCCTTCATGTACCGATCCTCGGCATCGCTGGTCAGGTCATTTCGGCAACAGGTAGACAGTACGAATTCGAAACCCAGTTGCGTCAACGAACGGTACGAATTACGAGCGTTGGAAATGCTACGTTATTATTGTCGACCTGACAACTTACACGAAGATGCGAGGGTGTTATCCACCATTAGTCTGGCGCTAATCTGTAGACTGCATCCCCCAGACTAAGGGGCCGTCCCGTCCGCTCAACGTGTCGCATAAACCCGCGTGGTAACAATGGCACTGTCATGCTTCTTTCAGCAAGTGAGCTAACGGGCAAATTTACTCACTCATGGTCATGCGACAGCTGTATTCATCAAAGCTACCACGAATCCGGATTAACCAGGGTACACGATTGTGAAGACTTGTCCGGATCCAGACATACTGTCACCCCCGGGAAAATGAACCATATGGTGCTAAGTACCCACTAAGACTGTCGAAGCACGTTCGATAGTCCTCAGCGATCTTCCTCTCTAGTCATACACCGGGCTCGAGAGACCGCCTCAGCAGAATTAGTTTTTGGTCAAACGCTGAGAGTAAGACCATCTCGCAGCATGCCGAGTCTGATCCGTGGGGCCCACCCGTCAATCTCGTCACAGAGCGATAGCTGTCAGTCGCTTCGCTTCGCGAGCTAGCTACTCACATCATACTTCGCCGCTCCGTGCCCACTTTTGATCTGGTGCACGCGCTACACCGATGAATTCAGAGAAAGTCCCAACCCGACCAAGGCTCTTGTAGCATCCGCTCGGCACGGCTTGCTCGTATCCAGCTCATCACTACAGGTTGAATCACATCTGAACTGGGCATTCCATACACCACCGATGAGCAGCCGACGATGGCTACAAATGTAGCCATCTGCAAAGCTCAAAACCTCAGTTCCCGTTGATTGACAACATCGAACATGTTCCAGCACCAGTACCCGCGACTGGCCAAATGCATCCGCGTCCTGCTCAAACAACCAACAAGGTACTTTCTGCATGACGCACGACACCCAAGAGGTACAGCTTCAACGCCACGCGGAGTGAGTTTCAACATCTCCGTCACACAGCATCGGTCGAGGTACGTACCGCCAGGCAACATGCACGATAACGCCACAGAGCCGCATGAGGTCGAAAAGGTGGCCGTTGGTGATCATCAGCCTTGCCCTCCGAGTTCAGTCACACTGCAGGCGTCGCTTTTGTCTGCCTCGAGGAAACGTGTCCAGGCAACTGCCGTGTCAACAGTCGCAGTGTCGTACAAACCGCGGCTGTCGCTCGGGTGATGCTGCCGCGTGGGACGAGGTGATGTCAACACTTTCAGCTAAGTCTTTGTGCTTGCTGGTGCGAATTGATCCTGTGTTCCTCGAGCCGGTAGTCCTTCCTGGCCCATTCCGCGAAGCCGATAGGCGTTGGTTTCTGGGCGCATTTGCTGACACTTGGGCGAACACTATACCCCGAAACTGCCGACATCAATTCATCAAAGGCTGGATGCAACGAGACTGAATCTTGTTACACGCCGTGCGGATGCCTTCGTAAGAGATTCAGGATACATGTTCTTCTTATGATGTATAAATGCATAGCAAATTGAGTGGGTACCGCGCAGTGTATCGCACACACACACCGAGATAACATACAGTAAACTCCAAGACGGAGCATCGGTCACCGTCATAACGACGCAAGCCTTCTCCTCAGCCCACCACGCCGCTTATGCTTCTCACCCCACAACTTATGAACCAAATGCTGAGGCCGCGACAAACTCTCATGATCAAACTGGTTCCCACGCTGCACCCGCGCGCCTCTCGGCAACAACTAGAGCACAGCATTAGCCACAACACCACACTCCACAAAGTGTGCACCAGCTCCAAGGAAACAAGAAGATAGGTCGGTAAGTAGTAGCGGTCAGGAATAACAGATATAGTTGATTCAAGCCGTACTGACCGTCTTCGTGATGCGGACCAATAGCACACCCTTGGTGATGACACCGTTTGAGTCGTAGAGATGCAGCATGCGGAGGCCGGTCTGCAGACGGTCGAGGCGGAAGCATGCCCAACCGGCTAGGTCGTCCTTGCCGAAACGCTCTTTGTCGATGACTTTGAATCTGAAAGGAAGAGGTTAGCATGGACATGGTCAGTCAACGAATGGAATTCCGAGCAACGTCATGACGAGAGGAAACATCGCGCCCACGTCCAGTTGCGCATATCAAGGCTGTCTTCGCTGCGAAGGAAAGCCGTCACCAAACGGCCGATGTACGGAAGCCACAGCAGTATACCGCCTTGGCGCTGCAGCTGCCCCATAGCTCGACGCTGAGTACCGACTCTTTGGATCAGATGCAGAGTCATGCGGTGCCATCGAAGAAACGACGAGGCGCTGGCGCTAGAACGGCGTGAACGGGAATAACGGCGATCTGCAGGTGCAGTGATCCCGACCCTCATTCGACAGCCGTGCCACGACTGCTCACTCGGAATCTCTCTTTCAACGCTCGCCATACAACGTAACGGCGCGTATGCAGCGAAATGATGCAATGTCACCTGACCAGACCCCATGACCGCCATTCTACCACCTCTCTTGGTAGACCGGCAATAGCATTTGTGGGTGGGTGCGAGGCTGATGCTTGAGGCTCTCATGGCGACCTGCATGTACCTGACACGTAGCAAAAGAAAAGAGATGGGACTCACCTGACAAATGTCAATTCTTCCGTAACACCAGGAACATTGACGAACTTGACCATTTCACCACCGAAATCGGGGTTCGTGGTCCTTGCCTTATCGGTCTCTTTCTTCAGGTCGGGGTCGATGGTCTTCGTGCCTTTTCCATCACCGGGCACATGTTCGGAGTTGCGCTCTTCGTGCGACTCAACATGCAGCTCGACCTTGACATAAGGCTTTAGATCCTTTGGATCGTCTTCGTCGGGCGGCAGAGGAATGTCTTGTCCTGCGAAGAACTCAATGCTTAGGTTGAGGTCGTGATGAGTTATTGCGGTCTTCTGTGTCGCTGCTTCGCTCGTGCTGCGGTAGCCTTCTGGTTTGAGAACCCATCCGGCGGTACCTGCGAACATGGCTTCGTTTTGCATCATACCGCCGTCCCAGCGTTGCCAGTTCAGCGCTACTATCTGCACACCCGCACGCCAGAAGACGGAAGGGTTCAAGTTTGTTGATGTCAGCCGCGTGCCTTTGGGGTATGCGCGCATGAAGAAATGTTTGTTATGTTCGAAAAGTCGGACGGGGTCGTTCTCGTGAACTTCCATCAGTGTACCTTCTGACAAAGAGAACACGTGGGTAGGAACCTTCGCCTCTGGAGCATCGAGAGTTTTGTACGAGTATCCTCCTAAGTAAACGCCCAATCGTGATAGCGCTTCAATAACCTTGGGTTTCGGCGCTGGAGGGTTGTTCTCGTCATCTGGTCCGGCTTCTTTTGAGTCGCCCGAAGCCGCAGACTCGGTACTCATGGTATGTTGTAGCTGGGGCGGGGGCGCTGCCGCTGCCGCTGGCGCGGCAAGCGTTGTAGGTTGTGGTTCAGCCGCAGCTGGCTTCAGGTGTCCACGCTTGACTTTCACCAAGATCTTGTTGTGCAGCTCCTTCAGTGTGGGTAATTGGGCTTCGAGCAGACCCTGCGCTGGATCGAGAGGTAATTCAAGTAGCATGCCTTTCCAATACTCGTTCATGATCTCGACCATGATCTCCTGTTGCTCTGGACCAGCGTGTACTTCGAGACTGACAATCAGGGGCAGGTTCGACACAGCAAATGCGTAGTCCCTGATGATTACACACACCGCGCGAAACGTCATGTCTTTGGTCAAAGTGTAACCGTGGGTTACCTTAGGCTCGGCTCTCGATGTATAGGAAGCGGAATGCCAGGGCTGAACCTTGTTGGCGTCCTCGTGAGGCGGCTCTGATGTCTCTTGTTCTTCCTCCTCGGATTTGTCCTTGCTGCCAAACTTCTGGGCTAGCCTTTGACGAATGCTGAGACCGGACTTTGATTTCTTCTTGTCTTTTCTCGCATCATTTGATCCTGGGTTGCCTCTCGCCATTTCCTCGTCAGAACTGGAGTCGGAAAGCTCGTCTCCGTCCCAGACATCGACCTCGACGCAGCGACATCCTCGCATCAGGACGTTCTTGTAGGCATCAATGCTGGCGTCGCTTGACAGCTGATTGCCGGTAAGGTATGTGTTGTGGCTCGATGAGATGAAGTAGTTGGAGATGGGATGCGACTCGTCGACTGGTTGCGCAGGCTTCAGGACGCTTGCTGAGCCCGACATGAAGTAGTTGGCGAAGTTGGAGAATGAGCCGTCGGCCAGAAGCTCAGCGTTCTGTCCTGAGCATTCCTGCTCCTCAACCAGCCACTGCTGTTGCCCTTTCTTTGTCGTCAAGTCGTAGCGCGTTGTGATCTGGTCGTAGACTCTCTTGAGGTGTTGCGTAAGGAGTGGTGATAAGGCATCGACCTTGCGAGCTGCAACAGAGGCGGATGCTGTACCACCGCCTGCTTGAAGTTCGGGGTTGTCGACCTTGGGCGTACCCAGCTTGCTGTCTTTCTTGCTGTCTTTGTCGGGCAACATCTTGTGTTGATGTTACGAATACAGCGGGGTCGACGGGAGAACAAAGTCAGGAGGGGCGGCGAGAGGGTTTATACGCGGCAGCAAAGTGCAGAGTGGCAGCGGTGTATGATCCTGGACGCGTATGCGTGCCTGAGTAATGGCTGAATCCAGGCAGCTCAGCTGGCTCTGAGGTGTCAGTATCTCCTTTCCAATTGCGCAATTGGTTCATAGGCGGGTATAGTCAACATACATGCAATACGCACCAACAGTATGCGCAACTTAGTTTCGCGACTACAAAGCCTTTGTGGAGTGGTAGCGGGATCTAGTTGTGAAGGTATGAGGGGTGCGGGCCGCGACGTTGACGCGGGCACAATAGCCTCATGGTCAGCTCGTGCCTGCCTTGGCTTGCCGCACCGGCGTTTGATCATCCAATTGGTGGAGCACATGCATCGCTAATACCTGCTGGAGATTGACACGCAACTTCCGCCGTTTGCTGCATGCGCAAGGTGAATGAATGGGGGCTGCCCTGTTTGCGGCGCTGAGTGAAAGGGGTCTAGCTTTGACATGTGCCTCTGCAGCCTCGCCAAGCCCACCGACGTCACTCAGGGTCCAGCATGGCCAAAGATATCATCATTCGATAATCACTGACATTCTTGACGCAAATTACATTCACAATGGTCAAGTCACGGGAAGAAGCAGAGAGCAAAGTCCGATCTTGGGGGTTTGACCATGTGTTTACGTGGACCGATAGCCCGTGAGTATACAATCGCTCTACTACATTGAGTGTAGACTAACTTCCTCATAGCAATGCGCACTACTCGCCACACAAGCACAGCGGGAAGACGACACATCTTGTACTCAATGGCTCTATAACGTACACATACCCTAATGACCCCGACGCAACGAAGGAAACAATAGGTCCCGGCGCTAGATGGGATGTTGATGCGAACAAGGTGCACGAAGTATGGGTAGGGAACCAAGGTTGTACATATGTCATTGGAGAATGAACTATCGGAGCACTGCACGTATGCCCGTTCAGCACCGCTTAGCCCAAGAACCCATTCTGTCCCAAGTATTTGATAGCGTCGAGTGCCAATTGGTCTGCCTTGATCAGCTCCTGCTCTACCATGCGCTCGTACAATCCCTGTAGTTTTGTTTCCTTTGGAGGATGATGGAATTTACATTTGCGCAGATACGGGCATTTCCCGTTGCGCTTCCAATTGCTACACACACTCGTTTCCTTCTTTGCGGCGACTGGTGCCCGCGGGGGAGGAGGAACTCGAATGACTGGTGGAGCAATCTTTGAAGATGTGGGTTCTGGCGCTTCGTCGCTGTCTTCTGACTCGGACTCGGACTCCTCTTCCTCTTCTTCGGAACTTGATACCACAGATGACTCTGATAGCACTGAACTTTCAGCCTCAGACTCTGTCTCGCTCTCGTATCCTAAGCCCAGATCCACCACGCTCGGCGCAGATTGTTTCTTTATCATGCTCTCGTGAAGTTTCTTCCGTAAAGCCGCGAGCTCTTCTTGTCTGCGGTTCTCGGCATCCCGTTTTGCGCTGTCTTCCTTCTTGGTCGTATTTTCCTGCCTCCTTTCGCGAGGCTTCGGTTGCTGAATCTGGTTGTCGTCGCGGTGCTCTCTCGGTGGCTTGCCACTCACTCTGCGCAAAAAGTCGATCTCGGCTGCTCGTTTCCTCGCGGCTTCCTCTGCCTTCTCCACAATCCTCTTTTGTGTAGGGAAATTTCGTCTCCTGTCCTTGATCCATGCAGCGACCTCAGCTCCTGTTTGAATGCTAATCATCTCCCCTCCATGCTCGAACGCGAAGCCCCCGCCCTTGAGCTTCTCCGTGTACGCGGCTTCTTCGTCGATGTCCTCTTCATCGCTGCTCTCATCAGGAACTGGCTGCTTCGAGAGTCCTAGATTGACCTTGCGCTTCTTATTATCAGGTCGCACCACGGGAGGTGGAGGCAGTGAAAAGCCGAAGCTGGGCACCTGTGGTGGTACGGCGGCCTTGGCCCTCGGTGGCTTCGAACTTGGCTGCGATTGGTTTTGCTGCTGCTGTGCGTTGTTGTTTCGGTCGTTCAGTTTTCTCTTCTGACCGGCGTGTTGAGGCGGCGAATACTGAGGGCTCGGTTGGTACTGATGGGATTGTGGTGACTGGGGAAAGGGGACGTTGCCTGTGGTTGTCATATGGTTGGCGTATGCTGCCATCGACTGTACACCGGCCGGTGTCGACATGTATGACATGACCTGGGCGAGCGCGTTGGGGTCGTATTGCTGCTGTGTCGCGCCATATGTTTGCGCGCCGCCGGTGAAGGACGTGTTGTTGTAACCATTCGGAGAGGCGCTGTTGGGCGACGCATTCGCCTGGTATTGTCCGTTACCAGCATTGTAGCCTCCCCTGTTATTTGCGCCACCTCTGTTGTTCTGATAGCCTCCTCGCTGGCCTCCTCTGCCGCGCGCATCTCCGCGACCGCGACTCTGCCCATGACCACCTCTTGGATTGCCTCCAGAGATATCGAAGCCCCCTCCCCGGTTTTGATTGCCGCCTCTCCCGCGGCCCCTATCACCGCCTCCCCGGGCAGGGCCGCCCCGTTGACTCGCGTATGGTTGCTCGCTGGATGTAGCCTTCGGCGGCGGCGGAGGCGGAGGAGGAAATCTGAAGGACGACATTATTGTGGTTGAGAAATCGTGTTGCGCGCGAAAAATAGTGCTAAGACATTAGGTATAATAGTTACAAGGAGCGAAGGTAGGGTGAGAATCGCGAAAACGCTGGGAAGGCTGTTGCAGGACATGCGACGCGCCTCGGGAGTCCGCAAATCCCAGAAGTTCCTTATCGATACCACTAGCGCAGCGCTAGTGGTCACCCAAAGCACTCTCACCATCAACTCCATTGTCTATATCCGCCATGTCCAGGTAGCGACCGATTCTCTGCTCTTATACCCATGAAGCCTCCAAAGCTGCGATCATGTTCATACTTGTAAGTTGCTCCCAAGTCCATTGTCGCCTTCATCTCCTACGCGCTTTCGCTCTGCGCGTCAGAAAATTTGAGCGGATGAGAAAGACGGGACTTGGCTATGACTACGCGTAAAGCAGTCGCCGGGGATCGCGTCGTGCGCATATTGTGGATCTTGTACTGATTCTTGCACAGACCACGATTCAAGACTTGATACAAATCAAGCCGCAGGACTTCGAGAAGCCTAGCGCACAAGCTATCAAAGATGTAGTCAACGACAAGTACAGCAATAGGATCGTTCCTGGCATTGGCCTATGTCTCTGTATGTGGGATCTAATTTCTGCGACCGAGGGTTTGATCGGTCACGGGACTGGGCTTGTCAACGTTAACAGTAGGTACTACTACATCCCTCCTAGAAACTCCGCTTACATGCAACGCAGTCGAATTCCGTATGACTGTCTTCCGCCCTTTCCGTGGCGAAATCATCTACGGACGGATCAAGTCATCCAACGAAGAAGGCATCATTCTTGACCTGGAATTCACATCGGAAGTCTTCGTTCCCTACCAAAATCTACCAGAGAACTCGTCCTTCTCTAAAGCGGAGATGGTGTGGATCTGGAACTCCGAAGGCACAGAACTTTTCTTCGATAAGGGCGAGCCAGTTCTGTTCAGGGTAGAGCATGAAGAGTGGTACGACCAGAGACCGACAATTATTGAAAAGGATGAGAAAGGCGAGATCATCGAAGAGAGACCGACGGCCTGGAAGATCATCGTAAGTTTTCTGAAATGCCAATACCTAAGCATGTCTGACGTGTAATTTAGGGCTCAATGGCTCAACCTGGTCTTGGTCCTACTCTATGGTGGGCTGAAGGCGGAGAAGAAGAAGAGGGCGAGGAAGGCGATGTCGATATGGAGGGTGCCGAGGAATGAGCGCCTCCGGACGGCCACTGCTTGTTATTTAATCTAGTACACGAGAATATGGCAAATTTCACGGCGGCTTGTGCTTGGTTAGTATGTCAGCACGAAGCAAAATTCGCTCACAACCCTTCAGCCACACGAAATTCTACCTTCATTGACGCGTCTAGCCGCTACAGGAATGTTCTGCGTTGAGAAAACATCATCACACAGCGCTTTGTAAGCGCAATGCAAGATGTTCCTCGCCAATGCAGGTGCATTCCAAGCAAACAAAATCGCTTTAAATACCTGCTAGGCTGCCCTCGTGTACCCTTCTCAGCCACACAACATCAACGACAATATCAACATCAACATGCCCGATAGTGGTACGGTCGAGAGTAAGATCACCAGGAAAAATGATCCAGATTCCTGGACGGATGTATTTACGCTCGATCCTGAATATCATCGCCTGTACGAACTTACACTGTGTACCTATTACGACGACCCAAAAGCGCCAGTTGACGAACTACTTCAGTCCAGAGGACCTCCTTCGGCTTTCTCTGTCCAAACGCTTTGCGCTGCTATCCAGAAGAAATGCTCTCTCACAGCCTTCAAAGCATATCTACAAACATACGCGGGAAGTCCTGGGTTCCAAGAGACCTTGACCAACCACGGCTGGCCTCTATTGTACCATGCGGCTGAACGCAACTCTGTCAAGATGGTATCTGTTCTTCAGCAACACGGTGTCAACACTGAAGTCCCGAACAACACCTTTTCTATCCCCTTGCTAGCATACGTAGCAATTCATGGTCAAGCAGAAGCTATCGACACCAGCGAAGTCATGAAGCTTGTGCTTGCCAATGGGGCCAATCCTACGGTCATACCCATGGACATGTGGGTCAAGTTCTTGGAAACGCCCCAAGACGAGCCTGTTGCCGCGATCTCGGTTCCTAGATCTGCCTTGCAGAAGTCAGCATGGTGTACCCCGACGATCCGGCCTGTTCTGGCTCGAGCTTTGCACCTGACCCATCGATATCTACTGTCCTTGGCTTACAACATAGCACCGCTGTATGCCAGAACGCGTCAAATCGCCAAAGGAAACAAGATGCTTGAGCTTACGAAGCTTCCATACTTCCTCGTTGGCCGGCGATGTGTGACGAGATTGGTCATGAAGAAGGTTTACTCGCACATCGCTCATCGTACGATGAAACCACTGATCATGGCGTTCGCGGGTGCGTCTGGTCACGGCAAGACAGAACTAGCCAGATCGATGGGACAGCTTCTATCCGTGGATACCGTATCGATCGATTGCGCCAGTTGCGGTGACGTTTGGGCACTCTTCGGGTCGACTGCGGGCTGGGATCGGAATGAGGACGGGTCGAAGCTCAACAACTTCCTGACTGACCACAGTGGAAAGCGATCGGTTGTATTCCTAGACGAATTCGACAAGACTGATCAGAAAGTTCGGAACGCGCTTCTCAACATCATGCAGAGCGGTAAGTCTCCTACGTCTTTGACGATGCGCGCGCACTATGAGCTAACCTTGAGCAGGTGAGTACGAAAATCGGCGTTCCAACAACGGTGTGGACTGCAAACAGACAATATGGATCGTTGCGACGAATTTCGGTGACGACGAGATCAACACGTACTATGCGAAACACATCGAGAGGCTCAGTGAGAAGCAAAAGCACAATCTCGACATCAGACCCCTCCAAGTGAGTCTGGCACAGAGGTACGGTAGCAAGTTTGGAGTAAGTACTTTTCTTTCAGCCACGCGTGTCCGCTAACCAGTCTAGATGCCGTTCACCGGGCGTCTGCATCTCTTCGTTCCCTTCCTCCCATTCTCGCCCTCTGAGTGCGCTGTCGTACTTCACAAATTTATGCTGGAATACGCGACTAGTATTCGCCAACCGATCGATCACGATCTCAGCGTCATCCGCTACATTGGACATTGTAGATTATCACTCGTCGACGACGGCAAGATATGCACCGCCTTGACCGAGAAGTACTACAGTAAGGATCTCGGGGCGCGAAGCTTGGACAACGCTGTCAGGGAGGTCAGGGACGAACTTGCGGACAAGTACAGCGAGACCGACGTCCTTGCCACGGAAGATCTCAACGACGGGCCTCTTCAGACATTCATCGTGCGTCGATTCCTCATCGCGGATGATGTCTATGAAGTTGGGGTGTTCACGGATGGAACGAGTGGTGGAGAGGAGGCAAACAGTGATGAAGACGAGGTAAACAGGGATGAAGACGAGGTATACAGGGATGAAGACGAGGTATACAGGGATGAAGACGAGGTATACAGGGATGAAGACGAGGTATACAGGGATGAAGACGAGGCAGGTAGTGATGAAGGTGTGCTCCGCGCACAGATTAGGTGGGGAAGATGAGACAGTCAGCGATGATTACGACGGTTTTTACTAAGAGCGTAGCGGAGCTGTCACGACAGACATGTATGATTACTAGAATGATGTAAGAGAAAAATTGCGGTGTTAGAGCAAAAGCGTTATCTATCAATGCTATCAAGTAGATCCAACATGTGTTTCTGACGTCTCATTCTCGCTGATGATGAATTGGGTGTGGGCTGTGGCGTATGCGATGACGCTGGCCGTTCACGGCTATGACTCGCCGTGGGCGCGAGTGGAGCGATGCTTGTTGCATTGTTCAAAGATGCAGTGCTGCTCATAGGTGGTCGTGGGCTTGAATAGGCAGAAGACACAGACCAGTGCCTACCAGACTCAGCGTGACCTCGTGTGGCCAGAGAAGGCTGTGTTCGGGAGGAGACAGTATCAAGCTCGAAGGTCGGCGGCGAGACCAATGTTTCGTTGGCGATGGCGGTCGGCTCGCTGACCGTATGCGAGATGACAGGTCTGTGTCTCGGGATAGCCGGTAACTCTGAGGCAAATGTTGTGTTGTATTCTTGGCTCGCAGGCAACTCATAGTTAGGATTATGCGAGCTGGGCCGTAGAGTACGTCTCGAAGTATGAGCTGGCTCGCTACCTGGCAGCTCTACTGCCAGATTCACATCCCCCAATAACTCCGATAATGTTTCGATCTTCTTGTCTTGGGAGACACGGTGTCTTGGGGCTAGAGTTGGCGCGGTAGGATGAAACGCGTACGGATTCACTGGTCCGTCTGAGTTTGTACCACTCATGAAGCTGTCGCTCGCGAGTTCTGCGGACGCTTGATGCCTCTCATACGTATAGGCCCATGTGTCTTTTCGGGCTGACGGTACGATATGCGCGTCATCACGTACTTCACTCAGCGATGACTGCGAGCTTCTATAGATCGGCTGATCAATACTGACATGACGCTTGGTATCTTCGAGCAATGTTTCCGAGCGGGGACTGCGCTTTTCAGCCGATGTATATGTAGGGGGAGGACTGCTTGGTAGGCTGGGAGGTGATTGATATCGCGAGTTGTATGGCTTGTAGTCTCGGTGGTCTGGCATTACTTGCATTTGTCCACATAACGATCGTAGGGTGAACTTAACCGCATCAATGGTCGACGCGTCTTGTGTGTATGGTGCTTCGGTAAAGAACGACTTTTGGTTCGCTGACCACGGAGTGTTGTTGGCAGGGTAAGATGTCGTTCGATTGGTGTCCCCCAAGAAGACCTTCGGTGAGCCATCACCCATTTGAGCCGGGCCGGTTGATCTTCTGTGCCGCGACACGATGTCATCAAAGTAGGTGGTGTCTTGATATGTGGGTAGTTCCTTAGTGCTTGGTAGGTCCTCCAAGCGATTGAGGAAGCTGAGTACGTTGGACAGTTGCTGATGGCATGCCATAAGTTCGCTTTTGCGGTCCGCTAATCGCTCGCGGTCGTTGAGAATATGTTGAAACTTCTGAGCTGGCTCCAAGACATTGCGATGCTGCCCAATACTGCCACAATCTACCCATCTACCAATTTCCTCTAAGGCAGAAGTGGTGTTTTCGATGCAGCTCCTTATCCAAGGAGATCTTTCTGGTGTCTGTGCGAGTTTTGTTCGTACCGAGCCAACGGCAACCAAACGCTCAACCTCGGATAGGTCGTTACGGACGATTCGTATTGTTCGCAAGAAAACCTCGCTCTCGCTTCCGATGTCTGCGCTACGTATCGCAAGATCAGCGAACTGAAACGCCTTGCTGACACTGGCGGATCTCGTGGGTATACCTGCTACATAGTAAGCCCTGCGCTGCGCTATGATCGTACAGCTTTCATACCTATGAGTTCGCTCATATTATGAGACTTTGGCCAGTTTGGACAGTAATGGAAAAGCTCCTTAACAACGGTTGATGCTCATGATGATACGGAGATGCAGGTCGTGAAGAACATGTTCACGAGCCTGGCAGCTGCCGATGGGCGGCTCATAGACCCCCAAAACTGTGTAAGCAGCGAAAGCACCAACAAGGCTGAACCTGCGGGTACTGGAATACCCCTCATGCTGTGTCGCAGTGCTTCGAGAACCGATCTGCAGCTCAATGCTTCTTTCCACGGGCTGAGCTCATGCGTCTGCGCCTAAACATAGGGTCATTGCTCCGCGGGCCATGGTGGAGGGCCTATACCAGATAATCGAACCCATCGACCTAAGTATATCTCACGACCGAGTGGCTGCTGCGTGTGTCGCGATGGTGAGTCGCAGATTGGACGGAACAGAAAGGGACGCTCCTCCTCCGCGCCTGTGGCACTGGCGCTAAGACGCATGGGGTTTAGTGCAAAAGCAAGCATCAACTTCGCTCTTCAGCCTCGTCCCTTCCTCCTGTGCGTTTCCGCCCACACTCCTTTGTCATGTCCTAGACGCATCTCAGCTGATCAATGGCTGCATTGCATACTGCATAAACTATTGATGAAACGCCATTCTCGCTCCACCACACCTCATTCTCATGCCGCAATCTCCTTTTCAAGCAGCACGCGTGACGGCACCAGCACCTGCCCCTGGTCTCCGATAATCTGTAGCAATGCTGGGAACACCGCCAACCCCCCATGTTCGCTAGAAAACCCGAAATGGAAGACTCCGGGCTGTTCAAAGAGTAGGAACGCGAAGTTTGCCG